TCTTACAGACTCTAGGACCTCACAGGGTTATATGACTTAAGTTTGGTGCAAATAATACAGAACAGGTCTCCGGAAAGGCACCTGAGCGTGTGCTGGCTACAGAAGGCAGACTTTTGGAAGGAGAGCTTGTGTAGTGGAAAACCATTCCCCTCCACTGGCAATCTAGAAAGGACAAACAGTTCTGGGAGGCAATGATTTGGAGGGTGTTGGTGGTGCTGTTTGGGTTGCCATGGTTACAACAGCACAGTTCCCATTTTGAATGGGGTGGGAGAGGTGTCTATATAGTTTTCTTAAACAGGGACCCTCTTGCCTGGAATGAGAGACATTCCAGTAATGTGGTTTTCTCCTCCCCCATACATGTTTGGCGGCTCTATAGACCTCCTTCCTGAGACACTAACACCTAAAAAGCAGATTTGTATTTTAACTGAACAAGAGAAGAAAACCCTGGGGTAATATATTTAATAAAAAATTAGCTATAACAATAGGTGGCATTTATAAAAGTGCTTTGTTTACAAAATGCTTTCTACATTTTACCTAGTTTGACTTAGAAAAAGTATGATGAAAGGGTTTGTCTGACTGTATCTATTGCCAGCAGGGATGCCTCCTTTCTTGGTCTCTAAGGTAGGAAAACTATAGTCTTGTGTTGACTAGAGAAGGCTCGACAACAGCAATAGCAAACATTTGTATAACACTCTGAAAAGTTCTTGAAATGTTATCTCATGTTGTCTCATCACAATTCTGGGAGGTCAGTGCTATTATTATCCCCATTTTACAAATGGGGAAACTGAGGCATAGGGTACTCTAAACTAGAGGTCAGGAAGAGTATTAGAGATTATCCAACTAGATGAGATGAACATTGGAGACTCAGCGGGAGCTATGAAGCACTGCAGAGACACTTGTTTCTTTCTCTGAGAAAACCAGAGGGAAAGGGTCTTCTGGCACGATTTCTACCTCGTAGCACTTGCACTGGTCTGATGCCCCTTGATACTACTTCCACCTGAGAGTGCTAACATGAGTGTCATCTATTTGCCACTGAGGAGAGGGGCTGTTTCCATCTTTATTCTTCCCTGATCTCCCTTGGACTCCGCTATCCAAATTCATAACCCATGTTGCCCCCTAGTTTGAGATTCCAGTTCTTCCAAACTGGGTGTGCTGAAAGCTGTTAACCTAATGTAAAGGCTTCTGGGAGATGGCATTTCCAAAGAGAACACAGGGTAGACATTCCTCTTCTCTCCACCTTTCCTGTCCCTCACTCTGACGATCTGGAGGCATCTCAGATGTAGGGCTAGAAGGTATTTCAAAGATCCTTTAGTCTAACTCCTTCGTTCTGTAGATGAAATAAGCACCAGAGGTGAGATTTCAACTCAGGTCTTATTATTGCTGAGCTAGTGTTCTTTTGTCCCATGATGCCATATATTATGATGAGTGACTGTTTTCTTGGGATTAAAATACTTCTGATTCTGATAAGCTCCATGAGGATAGAGATGATTTTATTTTTGTATTTGTATCCTTGGTGTTCACACAGCTGGGTGGCTCAGTGGATAGAGCGCTAGGCCTGGAGTCAAGACAACTCATCTTCCTGAGTTCAAATCTGGCCTCAGATACTTACTAGCTCTAGTGTAACCCTAAGCAAGTCACTTAACCCTATTTGCCTCAGTTCCTCATCTGTAAAATGAGCTTGAGAAGGAAATGGCACACCACTCCAGTATCTTTGCCGAGAAAACCTCAAATGGGGTCACAAAGGATCGGACGTGACTGAAAAGCAACTACACAACAATACTCCCTAGTGCTTAGCACGATGCCTAAGATAGACTGGGCATTTAATAAATGCTTATGGATTGATTGGCTAATTGAACAGTCATTCTTATAAAGGAAGAGTTAATCCTATTTAATACTCTATATTGTACTTGGGTACTTCTCAGAATTTGTGATTTCGTCTCTCTACCACTCAAGGCTGCAGTCCTCCTATATCTTAATAGATGTTCTTCAAGAGTACTGGGACCAAATACTTTAATACCAGGTGTGATCCAGCTGTGATGAGCCTCACTAAATAGAGTTGGTCTTGTCCTTGGGCCACAGGAACAGTCCCTCACTGGCCTCTGCTTGAAGAATTTCTGGCTTGGTTGTACTGATTGGAGACTTTAATGCGCCAGGGTCATCTTCATGGCACTTTGGTGCAGGGACTCTACTGCAGTTCACAGAGATAAACCTTTAATCAGCTTTAGGTAGTTTTCTTGGGATTAATTTTAGGAGCAGACAAATTACAAATAGATCTGGAATGTGTGTAAGCTCATTGAAATGGTACAATACCCACCATGAAGACTTTATAATACTTCCTTGGAATTACAAATTTGTACTGGCTGTTTATATTGGGCTTTTCATGGTGGATGAAGTTCTTGGCTTTTACAAAAGGGGGATGATTTCACTGAACATGAACAAGAAAGAACTTTTTTAGACCTTAAAGAGAACATTTATGAAGGTTCTGTTGTTAATGGAACCTTTGATCTACCCATAGAGATACATTTATTACAAATGCTGCTCTAAGAGTTATTCCAAGCTAACCCTTTGGGGGTGGGAGAAGCACTTACATAAATACTTAAAAGAGGAGGACCTTAAACCATATGACTGGCTATTTGCACCAGTTAAACTTCATTGAGACCAACTAGACAATAATATCATTGAAAGAATTCTTAGGAATAAGGAAGCATCTTGTAATACAGATTTGATGTTTAATGACAGTTTTCCTTGATCTTAAAATTTTGCTGTATTTGATGTAAGCCACTATCCTGTCTGGGTATCTTGTACAATGTGCACATCTGTCTCCTCAGTTTTGCTCCCTGGGAATTCAGTCAGTCAATAAATGTTTATTAAATCCTATGAAAGACAACAATTAGTTGAGTGCCTTCTATGTGCCAGGAATGAGGCTAAGTGCTAGGGATACAAAGAGACAACTTGTTGTCAAGGGCTTCCCAGTCTGGAGAAAGTCATGTGGGTTAGTGGAAAGAAAACTGAAACTGGAGTCAGAGGACCTAGGTTCAAATTCTGACTCTGTTACTCACTACTTGTGTGACCATAGCAGTGTACTTAATTAACCTCTTTGAACCTCAGTTTTATCATCTATAAAGTGAAAGATTCCATCAAGCTCAAGGTCCTATGGTCTTGTTTTTAAACTAAAAATGTTTAAAACAAGGTTTTATTGACATCTTTTGTTTTTTAATCACCAAAATTTCTCCAGTATTCTCTTTCTTCCCCTCACCCTGAAAGCTATCCCATACAACAAATAATATTTGGAAAAAAAGAGAAAAAAAATCAGCAAAATTGATCAATACATGAAAAAAGTCTGTACCACAACCATAACCCACCTTTCTAGAGAGTTGGGTTGGGGATGTCTTCTCATATTTCTTCTTTGGGGTCACGCTCATTCTTTGAAATTTTGCAACATTCACTTTTGATTATTTTCTAGTTGTTCTTTCTAATTACATTGTTGTAGTTATTGTGGATATTGTTTTCTTGGGTCTGTTTACTTCATGCTGCTTCCGATTGTGTATATTTTTTCCATACTTTTTTGTATTCATCACATTCATCATTCCTTACAGCACCATAATATTCTGTTACATTCATGTACCACAATTTGATTAGCCATCCCCCAATGAATGGGCATTTAATAAGTATTTTTATTTTAGTCATCAAATTAGGATTTTTGGTACATGTGTACAAGAAACCAAAACTTATCTCCCTCTTTTGCCAAGTAAGGTTCCCTCTGGTTACATAGATCCTTGTTTAGCTCCAGACACACAGTCTTCAAGATCGCCACCTGCAGGAGTTAAACATTACCTGGTGGTTGCAAAAAGTCATTATACCGAAGAAAGACACACCTGCTTAACAAATCCAAGGAGCCCATTCTTTACTTAGCAGGACCAAAGGCACAAAGTTATAAATAGAACAGTGGCAGATTCACAACCTGAAGATGCCTGCCTCCCATTCCTTTTTGGTTGACAAATAGATGATCAGTCAAAACTTGGGGCCTCTAAGCAAAGCTCGTTGATAATGATAGAAACTTTTTTGGGGGGGAATGGAGCCTCTATTCCAGATGTTCTTAACCAGAGGTCCATAGATCAATTTCTGGGATTCCATGAATTTGAGAACACCTGCTTTAGTCAGTTCTATGTCCTGTTTCTTGCTACCAATAGGATCTCAGTGGGTTGTCCTACACTTCCCTATAGTTAAGAATCCATTCAGAGAAACTCATTTATTCTCTGGATTTCTTCTTCTCCTCAACAACTTCCTTCCTACAATGGAGAAAGCTCAGCCCTGAGACAGCCCCTCCCCTCTCCTGATCTGATCCTTTGGGAAGGACCCCAGCCAAGCTTTACCTCATCACGCTCACAACTCATGTCACCCTCTGAGCTTCTCTTGGATAGCCACTTTCCTGTGCTTTCTCCCTTCCCCAAACTGATTCCCAGCTTCTCTTTGTGTGTGATCTTCTCCTGTTAGACATAAACTCCTTGAGGGTAGTGAAAGAAGGAAGGAAGGAAGGAAGGAAAGGAGGAAGGAACAGAAGAAGGAAACAAGCATGTATTAAGTACTTACTATGTGCCAGGCACCATGCTAAGTGCTTTACAAATATTGTCTCATTTGATCCTCATAATAACCTTGGGAGGTAGGTGCTATTATCATCCCCATTTGATGGTTGAGGAAACTGTTATAAACTTTAAGGTTAACTTACCCAGGGCTACATATCTAGTAAGGGTCTGATGTCTGATTTGAACTTGGGTCTTCCTGACTCCAGGCCCAGTGTTAGCTGCCTAGGGTAGGGACTGTTTGTTTTTTGTATTTGTATTCTTAGGGTACTTAGCCCAGCACCTGCCACATAATAAGGGTTTAATAAATGCTTTCTCCTGCTGTCTGTCTGTCTCTCTCATCTTTTTCCTCCTGTCTCACTTCCTCCATTTATCTCTCTGTCTATCTTAGGGATTCTTAACCTGGAGTCTGTGGCCCCCTAAGGATTCCTTGGATGGATTTCAGGGTATCCATGACCTTGGATTGAAAAAAAGAATCACATCTTTGTTTTCATCAACCTTTGGTTTTCTTTGTAAAGTCATGAATTTTATTTAATGATTAAAATGCCATGTGCTTCACCAGATACCCGAAAGGTCCATGACACAAAAATAATTGAGATCCCCTTATCTCTCTAGAGGAGACGTATATCATGATGGGGAGAGACTTGCACAAAGAAAGGACATTCTGTTAGGAAAAGGAGGGAAAGCAGGTGTCTGAGGCTGGTGCAGATAAGTGCTCTGCTTGTTATTGGGGTTAATCTTATGTATAGGCGAATAAGCAATGAAATATCTGATAATTATGTGTGCATGCACGTGCATATGTGTGTGCATGTGTGTAAGAGGACTAAAGGGGGAGTGTCGGAGAAACTCCTGCACCAAAGTTCCTTGACCCCATTCTACTTGAAAATGTTCCCTTACTTTTGTTTTCTTGACTTGGAACAGATTCCATCCTTCCAGATCACAAAGCAAGAATCATCCAAAAGAGGATTTGAATCCAGGTCCTCTGACTCTGCAGGATCATAGATGGAGAAATGGCACGAGCTTTAGAAGACCCTAAATTCAACTCCTCATTTTTCAGATGAAAAAAAGGAGGCCCAGTGAAGTTAAATGAATTACCCCAGGTCACATGGCTATTAACATCTGAGGAAAAAAATCTGAACCCATTTCTTTCTTACAGGAGTTTCAGTGTTCTTTCCATAGCCATGCCATGAGTCTCTTTTCCTTCAAATATGGTATCTTTTGCCTGCTCTATGCATTGAGCCAGTGACCAAAGGTAAACTGTACCCTATAAATCTTTCCTGCATATCTTTTGTGTTTATCCTTGTATGCCAAACTTCTTTCAAGAATCATATCTCTCTCCTATGTGATATTTATTTTTAATATGCTATTTTCCCTATGTAGCTGGGGCAGAATAATGTGTTCCCTGTTGTACAGAATGTGGAGTAATTCCTTGTCCAATAAAAGTTAAAAAATTCATCTGTTCTAAAGTAATTCCCGAAACATTCTGCCAAAGGAAGCCACAGAGAAGCATTTTAGCAATAACCTGGGAGATCAAGGGCCATGTTCTGAATTAACTGACCATGCATTTTTCTCCCATTTCAGCAGAAAGAGTTTTTACCTTTTCACCTACATTTTGGGAATGGATAAAAAGGAGACAAAAACATGTATCCAAGGTTCTTAATATGTATAAAACAGGCAGAAAAGGGAACTCATTATGATTTATGGTATAAATGGGTAAATATGGTATATATGTGTGCAGTATAGATAATGAAGAAAAAAAGAGTATTGGCTGAATTCTTCATTCACAGGTTTTTTAAAAATTGTATTCTGTTGAGACTTCAAGGGACTTCTTCACTGGTGACTTCTATCTGATAATAACAATAATTTATATTAATATTATATTAACTAAATATCACATATATAATATTAGCTATGTTATATTAATAATATAATGTTAATATTATATACCTATATGAATATATAGTATTCCAGAAATATTACTATAATCTCTTATTAATAACAATGAATATAATTATTATTATTAAAATAAAATTATATTCTGATTTCCATATGAGAACTATTAAAATTTATGCTTCTTCTTTTCTTTCTTTCTTTCTTTCATTGTCTTTCTTTTTTTCCCTTTTTTTAAACAATCTCAAAACAAAGAAGTAATTAAGCAAAAACCCTCAACACATTGGCCAGGTCTGATGACGTATGCCTCATTCTACATCTGTGGTGCACCACCACTCTGCTAAGAGGAGAGAGCTATGTTTTACTCCTGTTTTCTGTAGAATGATCCCAATATAAATATGTTTTGCATTCTGGTGACAGAGAAAAGCAAACAAAAGCAAACAAAACAAAAATCATGAGGTTACTTCATTTTTGAAAAGTGAATGACAGCAAAATGTATGCATTAGTTGGAAGAAAAAAAACCAGTCCATTTCCTTACTATTTTTATCTCTGTTTTGGAAGTAGCCAAGATAAGCGTTATTACCACCATTTTTCAAATGAAAAAACTGAGTTTCAGATAGATTAAGTGACTTGTTGATGGTCATGTAGTTTGAGGCAGAACTCAGCTCTCCTCATTCCATATTCAATGCTCTTTCTCATATACCAAATTATTTCATATATTCCAATTCTTCAGGGATCTTTGATTTTGTTGTTGTGGCTATTCCCTTCAGTAATGTAGATTGCACACCCTCTGTGACTTGGTAGATGGTCTTTAAAATGAAAGTGGTTGGACTTACTGACCTTGAAGTTCTCTTCCATCTCTAAATCTATGATTCCGTCATGTTCAGTTACAGTGGCCACTGGGGAAAAGTTATACAATCCATCACCCATAGTTGAAGCCATTCCCATTTGTTAGGGTCTGCCAGAATTTGTACTCTGCTGGGTCACCTACATGTCACAATAAAGCAATGGAACATGACATGAGTAGAACGTCTTCTCTTTTGCTGTCAAAATATTCTCATGCATGAGGCATGGGAGATCAGCATCTTTTTTTTTTTAAAGCTACATAGAGCTTACAAACCTTGCCCTGAGTATCGACACTTTAAATATAAATTCATCTAAGAGACTGATTTCCACCATAGCAGGAGAGGCACTAGGCAATTTGGGGTCTGTCCCAGAAAAGGCATGGTGGAGAGTAGAGGAGTTTTTTACTTCCCAGTTTTGCCTAAGGCTGGTTCTTTGTGAGACCATCATTAGCTACGAAAAAAAACCCCAACAAAAAACCATAACAAAACCTTTTAGAGATGATGAGATAGCTCAGAGGCTAAATCAATTCCTTCCTTCAGCCTTTATTAAGAAAGCAGTTAGAGAGATTCCCTCTCCCAAAATGGTTTTGGAAATTTTAAGGTCAAATGGATTAGAACAAATAGGGATGAAGGCACAGCGTGTTCTAGACCTAATTGACAGGCTTGATGTAAATAAACCACTGATCCTAGGTGGCATTTTTCCAAGAGTTCTGAAGGACCATAAGGTGAAATTATGGAACTCTTAGCCAAATGTAAAATAGTCAGGAGGATACTAGAATGTGCCAAGTAATTGAGGGCAGGTAACAGGGTCCATCCCCTGCCGTACAGATCATGTCTTTGTCATCATTTTGCTTGTCACTTCTATTTCTGGCTTTTTATCTCCTTTATTACTTTACACCAGAAGAACTCAAATGGTTCCAGAGAATTAGCAGAAGCTGACTCATGTAGAATTGTAGGTACATTCAAGGCTTAAAAAAATACATATGCTTGAAAGGCAACTAGCATAGTGCTAGACTTGGAATCAAGTCCAGATCTTGCTCTGACACTAATTGTAGGCAGTGGCATAGTGAGTACAGTGCTGGAGCTGGATGTCAAGAAGTCCTGAGTTCAAATCCATCCTCAGACACTTCCTAGCTATGTGACCCTGGGCAAGTCATTTAACTTTTGTTTCATTCTCCTCATCTGTAAAATGGGGATAATAATAGCACCTGCCTCCCAGAGCTATTGTGAGGATGAAATATTTGTAAAGTGTTTTGCAAACCTTAAAGTTATGTAGAATGTTATTGTTATTGTTATTATTAAGATTCTTAATTGTATGAATATCCCCATATCACTTATCCTCTTCCAGACTCATGTAAACTCTCTGAGACATACTTACCATGACAGAGATCACAGAAGTCACAACATTTCAGTATTATTCAGAAAAAGATCTTGGTGGATACATGGCACAACCCATATTTCCGTGAGAATCATTGCTACGACACACTAGTCAAGTACTGATCCATCCTTTGCGTTACAAAGCGTTTCTTGACCTTTTTTTGTGTCATGGTCCCCTTTGGAAGTCTGGTGAAGCCTATGGACTCCTTTTTAGAAATATGTTTTAAGTCCATAAGAGAAAATACTTAGAATTTCAAAGGAAGTCAATCACATTGAAATAGTTATCAAAATACTTTTTAAATGTTTAAAGACTTCAGTTTGGTTCTGTTCTTTCCAGTCCAAAGATCACTGGAGAAAGGAAACCAAATGAAAACAACAGTTAAGTAGTTCTGCCTTCTCTCTGTTGTCAGTTATCATCATCCCGTCTACTCCAACGAGCAGTCCTGCATATCCCTTCTTTGACTCTCTTGCTCTCCGTTTCCTCAAATTCTCATCTGTTGTCTTTATTTTTTTCCTTTACAGGTGACCTGCAGCATATGCTGATTAAAAAAAATCATTTCTGTTTCTTCCTCCCTTAACTGTCACTTAAGTAACCTCTGCCATGCTTGTCCCTTCTGGTTGCAGGGTTTTCCCAGCTGAATTTACCTTATTAATATGCAATTCTATGCTAGCCCCATGTTATAATTCTCCTTTTTCTTTTGAATAATTTATGAATAACTTATCCATATTCCAGTCTAGACTTTATATAGACACTTTAAGGTTTGCAAAAGGCTTTCGATGTGTTGTTTTATGTGATCCTCACAATAGCTAAGTGAAGTAGGTGCTATTATTTTCTCTGTTTTACAGATGAGGAAATTAAGGCTGAGGGAGGCTTAGTGACTTTCATAAGTCACATATCTAAGTGAGTGTCTGAGGCAGGATTTGAACTCAGCTCTTTCTGTCTTTGAGTCCAGCACTTAATGGATGACACCACCTTGCTGCCCAGTCACTCTTTTCCTGCCAAGTTTTTATATCCCTCACTCCCAATCCAGCATCCTTTCCACTCTTTTATGATGCCTCTACTAGAATTCTGGTGCTGTTGTATGTTTAACCTTGTCTCACAATATTTACTTCTATGTCCTTTACACCGAAGTCAAGATGGACAGGTTGTGGTTGACCAATATCGTGCCCTTCACTTAAACTGCTTCCATGCTTTTACTTTTTCTGTTCTCTCTGCCTAAAATGTCTTCTTGGTCCTGACCTCTGCCTGCTGAATTCCTATCCATAATAATAAAACATAATATGGATCTCAAATGGCAAAATATAGCCCTGACCTGTGTTGTGAAGTTGGAAGATGGAAGAGTGTGACATAGATTTAAGGAAAGAAAGAGCATAGGACACTTCGAGCTAAGTCGGAACCACGAGGATCTTTCCATAGTGGAAGAAGCTTTGAAGAGGAAGCAACAGCTTGTGCCCCAAAGGATGATGAAGTGAGTCTAGAATTGCTGCCACATGAAGGATTACCCAAGATGGGTCAGAGGAAGAAGAGATGACTGTTGGTGATTAGTGTCCCTCATGTGACAATTGAAAAGGTTTGAGAGAGAGTTTCTGAGTAAATGAATCATTAATAAGGTCAGCATATTATTAATAAAAGGATCATTAATAAAATATTCATAAAAATCATTTGGCCATCTCTCTTAGAGTAAAGACAGTCATGGGGCAAGCTCAGGGCTTATATGTTCTTTTGGAAGAGACTGGCAATCACCTCTGATTGGTTAACACAGTGGAAAGTGGGCTATATGAAAATGTGGGGCTCAGAATGATCATGTTACCTTTGGAGAGAGAAACTATTTTATACCCAGACCACCCCCAGCCTCGGGCAATCCATTCAAAGAATTTGCGCCCCAGCTAAACCTTAGCAGAACCCAATGGCTTCTCCACCAGAGTAGGGTCTTGAACAAGAAAGTCCAGTCTCATTACCAGCAGTGTCCTTCAAGAGACTGAACTTATTAAAATGAAGACTTTAGAAGAAGGGGAGAACTCTAGATCTCCTCAAATTATTGGTTATTAATAATTATTTCTCTTACTCTTGAAGAGCTAATGATCAGTCTGACTAAAAATAGCCAGGTATGCTGTCTTCCTTATACATACACCTAGGATGTAAGTCTCAAAGCTTGTCACATCTGATGAAAACTACCCATTTCTGGTGACCTGCATGAGGACGAAGGGTGCTGCCAAAAGAAAACTGGAAAGCACTGCTAAAGATTATGAAGGCCTGAGCAAGACATGAAGACCTTAGGGGCACCAGGTGATGTTTTAATGTGATTTTGTGGCGCCATGAAGACAAATATCACCTCTTTCATGAAGTCTTCTTTGCTCCTTCCAGTTGGTAATGATCTTTCCTCCTAGGACTTCACAAAGCACTGTGTTTGAACTTCTCTTATGCTTTTATCATATATTAATTCACATTCTATTTATTTATCTGAGTATATGTTATATTATTTCACTACATTGTAAACTCCAGGAAAGTAGAAATTGTTTTTTAAAACTTCTGTGTTGCCTCCAGTGGCTAGACTCCAATATGGTCTGTCCAAGGCAGAGTATAGTTGGGCTATAACCTCTCTATTCCCAGCCACTGTCTTTCTTTCATGCTGCCTAAGATTGTGTTGACATTTTTTTTGTAGCCATAACACACTGTTGACTATTTGATGGGCTTGCAGTCCACTGAGACCTCCAGATCCTTTTTAGAAAAATGCTGCCTGATCATATAATAGCATAGCTGATTTTTTAAAAAATCCAAATGTAAGACTACATTTATCTCTCTTGAACTTCATCCCATTAAAGGAAATTTAGATCTTTTTGGATCCTCTGGATGACAGGAGGAATCAGGGGGAAAAAATTGAGGGAAAATCTCTAAAAAACCAGATATGTGGGAAAAGATTTAAAAAAAAAACTTTTCAGATATTTTCAATATCAACTGAATCACACAGTGAAAGTGTTCCTTATAAAACTGGTTTGGGAATGGGACTGATATCTTCCCTAACAGTAAACCAAGTCATTTAAAAATTTCATTATCTTTGCTTTCTCATTTTCAGTGCACATGCTATAACTATAAAATCACTGTGGGATCCCTGAAATAATGTGTGGAACAGTGAGGGTCTTCTGTTCTGCAAGTATGACCTAGTCTTGGCTGGCTCTCAGGGATCCGGCTTCCTCATTGTCCTTTGATTCTGATTTTGTTGGCAAGAGCAGGAGAAGGAAACTTAAGTGCTTAAAGGGAAATTGCATGACCTTCCCAGGTGCTGCTCTCAGAAACCAGTAGATTGTTTCTTTTTATAGGCAGGAAGTTAAATGGAGATTTTTCTCACACATGCATATAAATCAATGTAGGCCTGTCAGCCAGGAAGCAAGATGCTCCTTAGCAGCTGCTGCTGCCTCTTTGGCAACTCTCCTTATGCAGAATCACACTTTGAATGCTAAGCTTAATTGTGATATTCAGACTAAAGCAATGGCTATGTGGGGTATCCCAAACGTCTTAGGGTAGTATTGATCTACTAAAACTAGGGCAGCTAGGTGGCGCTGTAGTGCATAGAGTTCCAGGCCTGGAGGCAGGAAGACTCATCTTCAGGGGTTCAAATCTGGCCTCAGACACTTATTAACTGACGCTGGGCAAGTCACTTATATCTGTTTGCCTCACTTTCCTTGTCTGTAAAATGGACTGCAGAAGGAAATGGAAAACTGCGTTCCTGTATCTCTGCCAAGAAAATCCCAGATGGAGTCACAAAGACTGGGACATGACTGAACTGTAATGACAACCACAACAAAACTTAAAAGTGCCCGAAGACTTTTAGGGACACCCTAATTCTAAGTTAAGATGACTACTAAACAGAAGAAGGTCAATAGTGATTATCGTTACTATTATTATTATTGGAATGGTGACTGTAACATTGGTTTCACCTAGTTCATCTCTGGTTGAGGTTTGGGTCTTTTTTTTGTTTTGGTCTAGACCTTTGTTGTTGTTGTTGAGTTGTTCCAGTCATGTCCTACTCTTCGTGACTCCATTTGGAGTTTTCTTGGCAGAGATATTGGAAGAGTTTGCCATTTCCTTCTACAGCTCATTTTACAGATGCAGAAACTGAGGCAAACAGGATTAAGTGACTTGTCCAGGATCAGGCCACTTTTGAACTCAGGTCTTTCTGATTTCAGGTCCATTGCTCTATCCACAGCACCACCTTTTGCTAATGTAGGTATTTCCTTGTGTGCAAATTCCTAGATCATGACATCCTTGTCCTAATCTCTGCTGAATGCTAGTCCCAATTTACCAGTTTCCATTTGGTATTCCAATTCCAATTTGGATGTCCTATGTGCATTTCAAATTCAACAAGTCCAAAACAAAACTCATTCTCATTCACCCCAAAGCTTTTTCCTTTCTGGACTTCCCTATTATTATTGAGGGCATTGCTGTCCTTCCGGTCACCCAGGCTTGCAACCTCTCATCATTGCCTCAATTCACCAATTGTGTCAACTGCTAATCTTCTGCCAGATTTTGTCATTTTTGCCTTCACAACATCTCTAGCATCCATCCTGTCCTCTCTATTCACATAACCACTGCCCTAATTGAGACCCACAGCACTTTCTGCCTGGACTATTTCAATAGCCTTCTACCCAGTCTTCCTGGAAAATAAGAGAGTTTGACTTGAAGGCTTCCAAGGTCCCTTCCTCTACAGTTCCTGAGCTCTAAATGTATTTCTCAAGTTTCTCCTCTCTCCAATTCATTCTCTATGCAACTACTAAAGAGATTCTCCTGAAGAGAAGGTCTGACCATGTTATAACCCGCCTCAATAACATCACGGCTCCCTGGGATCAAATATAAATCCCACTGTCATTTTAAGTTCTTCTCACCACTTGGCCTCAGCCCAACTTTCCAGTCTTATCACATATTACCCTCCTTCACATAATTCATAGTCTAGCCAAACTGTCATTCTTGCAATTCCTTATAAACACCATGCCATCTCCCTTCAATAACTTCTGTACTGGCTATCCTCCATGCCTGGATTGGACTCCCTCCCCCCTAGTATTCCTAGCTCCAAGCACCACCTTCTACAGGAAGTCTTTCCTGATTCACCCTAAGTACAAGTGCCTCTCCTCTCAAAATTACCTTGTATCTCTTGGTATTAATGTCTAGATAAGCATCTATATGTTCTCTATCCCAACAGAATGCATGATCCTTTAAAGGAGGGATTATTTCACTTTTGTCTTTGAATTCTCAGTGTTTGGCCCCAGAAGCTTAATATGTGTTTGTTGACTGACTGACTCAGATCTAATTGTGTGATTTGCCCTAGTGACATCTTTTCCCAGTGTGTGTTTCTTGGCTTGTCATAGCATGGAAATCTGTATTCCTATATGTGAGGGTAGTCTTTCTTTTCTTTTTTAAAATCTTGTTTAGGTGCTGACTTAATTTTTTAAGAGTTAATGTATCCTTCATCTTGTTATCACTCACATATATTCCATGTCCACACTTCACAACTCTGAAGTTCCTTTAGCTGACTATAACCTCCTGTCTTCCAGCTCTACCTGTGCCTTGTCCCACCTCATTTTATTTTTTCTCCTCATCGCAATCTAGAGTCAGTTTGCACCCCTCCCCCCCTTCTGGCCATCTCTGCTGCTCTGACCTCATTTTTCTCCTTTTCACATCTCTACCTTTTAGTTAAGCAGTTCCACCTGGTACTCTCATCAACCTTTAAATCTCTTGCCCCTATGGCCTATTGCCACTTACCCTCTTCCAGACCCACAGCTCTTGATTATTCCCATCATCCCACTCATATGCTGCTTGAACACTGCTGGAGGAAATCACACAACCCTAGTGACTGTGTTTACAACAGATTTTGTGTTACTCTATGTCCTTTACTGAAGTAGAGCAATATTTTTACTCCTCCCTGATCCCTCTTCTACTTGTCATAGCAGCTATCCAGGGCTTCCTTTCCCTTCTCAAGTTTCCTACATTAACATCTCTTGCCTCCCTCTCAGCAGAAAACCTTGCCCAATACTTCACTAAAAAAATGAAGTCATTTGTTATGAGCTTTCTATCTTCTCTGATTCCACTTTACTTACATTAACATTGTCTTCCATTTTTTTTTTCTGTTTTGCTCCTCTGTTGGAGCATGAAGTGGTCCTTTTTGTTGCCAACACCAGTACTACCTAATTTTCAGTTTCTCTCTGTCCCCTGGCTCCTTTCCTATGGTTTTGAAACAGGCCCAGGTCTCCTGCATTAAAAAAAAAGAAAAGACAAAACAAATTAAAAAAAAAACCTTTTGCTTTACCCTCCTATACTTTTAAGCACTTGGCACTAGGCCTGGCACATAGTAGGCACTTAATAAATGCTCGATGATTTGTTGACTTTAGTCTTATCTTTCAGTCTTCACCCTTTCACAGCCAAACTCCTAGAAAAATCCATCCATACATACTTTTTTGCCTCTATTTCCTCACTTCTCATTCATTTCTCACATCCTTGTGATCTGGCTTCTCTCTGTACCACTTGATGGAAACTTTTCTCTCTGAGGTCACCAGGGATCTCTTTATAATGAAGTCCAATGACCTTTTTTCAGTCTTCCCCCAATTTGATCTCTATGCAGTGTTTGACACTATTGCCAACAGGTTTCTTCTGGATATTTCCCCTCCTTGAGTCTTTGTGATATTATTTTTCTCTTTCTACCCATCATTCTCCTTTGTCAGATCAACAACCATATCCCGTTCCGTAGGTATGATTGTTATCACAGGGCTCCGTCTTATGCCGCTTTTTCTCTCTATGCACTCTCTAATCTTATCAGGTCTCATGGGTACAACTATCATATTTATGCTGATGACTCCAAATCCATAGATCCAACTCTCATCTCTTTTCTAAGCCTGAGTTCTACATCTCCAAATGCCTGCTTGACCACCTGGATATATCCCTTGGGCATATCAAACTCAAGAAATCCAATATAGAATTCATTATTTTTTCTATCTATACCCATCCCTATTCACAATTCTCTTTTTTTCTTTCTGTTGAGGGCACCACTAAATTTCCTGTTACTCAGCTTCACAACCCAGAAGTCATCCTTGGCTCTTCATTCTCATTTAACCCCCCCTCCTTTACATGTAGTATGTTGTAAAATCATATTGGTTTCACGTCCTCAACATCTGTCTATCCCTTTCTCTAGACTATACAAATCACAAGTACCTTAGTCTAGGCTTGCATCTCTTATCAGAAATGTTGCAATAGCCTTTTAGCTAATATCCTTGCATCCAGCCTGTCTCTCTTCCAGCTCATCTTCCACACAAATTCAAATTTGTATTCCTAAAGTGTAACTCAGACCTTATCACCATTCTGCTCAACAAACTTCAGTCTTCTGTTGCCTTTAGGATGGAACAGAATGTCTATTATTTTTCATTCAAAACACTTCACAATCTTGTTGCAGCCTATCTTTTTTAAAAAAATTAAATTGTATTTTTTTCAATTAAGATCTATTTTGTCTCTCTCTTAACCCTCATCCCATTAAAAAAAGAAAGAAAAATAGAACCTTAGTAACAAATATTCATAGTCAAGCTCAACAGATATCAGCATTGGCCATGTCCGAAAAACGGATCTTATCTACCACCCAAATCCTTCACCTCTCTGTCAAGAGGAAAATTTTGTCTTCTGGAGTGGAAGCTGGTCATTATGTCAATCAGAGTTCCTAAATTTTTCAAAGTTATTTTTACAGTGCTGTTATTGTATTTTTTCCCCCATAGTTTTCCTCTCTTCAGTTTTCATCAGTTCATGTGAGTTTTCTCAGGTTTTACCATTTTCCAATTTCGTTTATGATGGCACAATGCTATTATATTACATTCATATACTATAAGTTGTCTAACCATCTCCCAATTGATGAGCACTTTCTTTGTTTTCAGTTCTTTGCTGCTACAAAAAGAGCTTCTAGAAATATTTTTGTATAAATGAGTCCTTTTTCTCTCTTTGTAAAAACTTTCTTTGGGGTATAGGCCTAGTAGTGTTATTACTAGGTAAAATAATAAGTACAGTCTGGACAGAGTTCCAAATTGTTTTCCAGAATAGACTAATCTACCCTTTAAGACAATTTACATCTCACTTCCCCTCAGGCACATTATACTCCATCAAAATAGACTTACTCAATATTATTTATACGTAACCTTTCATTTCCCAGCTCTATTTTGCACTTTGTTCCAGGTGCTTGGAATGCCTTCTCCTTGCCTTTCTTTATGTCTCGGAATCCATAGCTTTCTTCAATATTCCACTCAGATGCTCTCTTCGTTAAGAGACCTTTCCTGATCCCTATGTAGTTTAGTGCCTTCCACTGCAATCACTATGTGCTTATTATTATTATTTTTATTATTATTTTTGGTTAGGCAGTGGGGTTAAGTGACTTGACCAGGGTCTCACAGCTACTAAGTGTCAAGTGTTTGGTCTGAGGCCAGATTTGAACTTATGTCCCCCTGAATGCAGGGCCAATGCTCTATCTACTGCACCACCTAGCTGCCCCTTCTGTGTGCTTATTTTGTATTTATCCTATATTTACTCTTCTGTGAACATGTTACATCCTCCAGTGGAATGTAAACTTCTCAAAGGTCAGGATTGTCTCAATTTTGTATCTGCCTGATGCCTAACACAGTGCCTGGCACGAAGTATGTGCTTCATACATGTTGTCAATTGATCAATCTCCCCTGGTTTAGTTTGGCAAGAGAATCATCAGCAGGGTTGCTTGAACTCTAGTTTTTAAAAGATACTGCACTAAATGTGCTTTCAACTTGGAACTGCTTTTAGGGGCCCACCTTTGAGGGAAACTCAGGCTATAGCTATAAAAACATTATTATTGCCTCCTATCCTCACAGCCATATCAGAACAACAGGTCCCCAATTTGACCTGACCTCAGAACTTATACAGCAAGGAATAGGACTTGGTTGTCAGGATGCTCTGGGTTTTTTTTCCCCACTCCTCTTTGGCAGTTTTTTATTTGAAATTGATGGTAAGCAGGTAAAGAGAATGATATATGTGTGAGATGACTTAATTTTAGAGAATAGTCCTAAATCAACCAGACACACCTATATTCACAATTAAGCAAAAGAATGCTGCTCAAATGAAAATAAATCCCTGTCAATGGTGGGAAAGTCAGTGTGGTATTGAATTATATAGCTCTGCTGCCTTCTTAGGCCTCAGTTTCTTCACCCATAAAATTAGGATTTTGGACTAGATAATTCCTAAGGCTCCTTCCAGCTCAATATCCTGTGATTAGTGCTAGTAGGACAGATTCCTGATGTCTTCTCCTTAACAAGGTGGTAATCATATTAAGGACTTGTAACATAATGAAGCCATGGGAGTAATTCAGGAGAGGTAGACACCCATGGAGATATCAAAAGAACATACAGCTACTTGTTTGGACAAACTTGTGGAAGACTCTCTTGTTGAAAACAAAAAAGGCCCAGGGGAAATAGTGTGGGACCTTGTGGGACACTCGGGCCCTTGGTAATTTGCTTGTAGAAAATGTAACTTTCTTTGGGTCTTCCTTCCTCTTAAATGATAAAGCTTCTTTTTGCCATATTATAGCCCAATGAAATTATTGCCAGGCTACTAAGCTGCCCAGGGGAGAGATTTCTCAAAGTTTCTGAGGGAAGATTTGAATCAACTAGAAGGACTCCAGATTCCCTCCAAAGTAACCCAGATCCTTCATGTCATGTGGATCACTGTCATAAGGTTTAGATCAGGTGTCCTTAATCTTGTTTTGTGTCATAGACCTGTTTGGCAGGTCGTTGAAATTGATAGACTCCTTCTAAGGATAATTTTTTTAAAGGCATAAAAATAAATATTTACAATTACAAAGGAAACCAATGATATTGAAATGCAGTTGTCAAAATAGAAAAAAAAAAAGGCCCGTACCTGTAACAGCTGCTTCAGGGGAGGTTAGGACTGATGGATGGCCCAAACTCAAGAGTTCTCAGCTCCAGAAGGCTAAAGGAGTCAGGCATCTACATTGTCTGGCAATGCTCTTGTGAATGCTACAAATGTGGGGGCAGGTACCAAGCTGCTTAAGAAGATAGGAATTGGTTCAGGTTGGAAATGGAGCCCATAAAGGTTCCTGTAGAGATCAGCAGTGGGATAGGACCACTGTACTTCCAGCCTGACTGAAATTAGGGAGACCCAATCTCCAAGAAAACCAAATCAAATGACAAAACAAACAAAAATAAGTTTGTGAATTCCAGTGTGAGAACCTCTGAAAAAGTTTCGATGATAAATCTTTTATTTTTATTCAATGATAACTCCAACAAACACACAATCAGTTATTTCATGCCCTCGACTTCTAGTGTCTTTGGAATTATGACCCTGCAATTGACATTAACATTCTTATCCGCTAAAAATAATTTAAAAACCCAAACACAGCTATCCTGGTCCTTCCTAAAATGCTAGTCACAAAACCACAGCTGTATTGTCAGTCCCAACGTGGACAACTAGAACTGCAGTGTCATGGAAACAGAAAAGTTCTTGAAATAGAACAGAAACTGGGTCCTGTTTGTGCGTAAACAAGCTGTTAAAGTCAAAGAGTTTTTAAAAATTTTATTCTTTAAATAATAATCTTGATTTTCCATTTAGTAAGGAGGAAATTGGTTGTTGTTGGAGTAAAAAAAAGAAAAGCCCTGGACCTCCTTAATGCAGTGGATGAGAGGAAGATTTTCGTTCTCCCACCTGCTACACCAGAGATGGTATTTGAATTCAGAGTCACCTGTTTACCTCTTCATCCATCTGGACTGTGGGTTGGCTGCAGAAAGCTCTTTCAAAGGGAAAAAGTTAAAAATTACTTGATTATATCACATCCATTTCCCCCCTATAGAGGCAAATTAGCATTTAGAATTAAAGACATTATCCCTTTGAGAGGAGAACCTAAATTAATTGAATAAAAAGCAATAATGAAACAAAATAACTTTACCTATGGGAAGTTTTCTGGAATTTACTGGAAATTTCCCAGCAACACTTAATTCATCATAATTTCCCCCAAAAGGCTTTTTAGCAGAATGAATATGTATGTGTATATATATATATATATGTATGTGTACATATATATTATATATGTTCATATTTTCAACAAAGAACTAACATATAGAACAGTTTCTTTGAGTGAGTTGTGTACAATTGACTTCAATTAAAATTTGTTTATAAATCTAAACTTATTAACCATCAAAAAAATTTAAATATACCAAGATAGAATCATTTTTTCTAATTCTGTTCTCTCAACTCAGTATCATTTTATGTCTTCCCATATCTTTGAATTCTTTGTATCTATCATTTTTGATGCTGTCATTTTCATTCATATACCAGCATTTCTTCAGCCATTCCTCAGTTGCTAAGCACATGTTTTGTTTCCAGTTCTTTGCTCTTACAAGTACATACAGGTCCTTTTTCCTCGGGTTTGTTTGTTTGTTTGTTTGTTTGTTTTTTAGGAGCAGATAGCAAGTTTATTTGGTGAAAGCACAGAGCAAATAGGCCAAAGAGAATATATGGTGGGGGTTGGAAATAGGATGTTGGTAACCCTGAAAATGTAGTTAGTTTGTTGCTTCAGGGGCAAGAGGATGATTTTCACACTGAGAAAGTTAGGGGATTCTTTGTGAAAAGGGGGGTAGTTCTCAGCCTTTTAGCACCATCCAGACTAGCTCTTCGTAGTGGATGCAATCGTTGCTGACCTCATGGTCTGCCACCAACACTTTCATTTCTTCCTCTGTCATCTTCTCACCCAGGGTAATGAGGACATGTCGTATTTCAGCCAGCACGTCTGTGCCGTTTTCTGCCTTACTAAACACGCGAAGCCCTTCTACATCGTTTTCATATTATTGGTCCTTATTCTCTGCAGCATTGGCAGAAAGTGTTCCAAGTATAGCACCTTCAATTCATCTCCTCGCTCTTGGGATTCCCTAAGACCTTGAGCACCTCAGCATTGGTAGGGGTCTGGCCCAGGGCTCGCATTGCATCCTCACACTGGCTGTATGAGATTTTTCCATGCCCTTGTTTGGTCAAACAGCCGGACGAGCTCCTTGAACTCTGCTCTCTGATAACTCTGTGAAGTCACACATCTTGGCCAGGCAGCTTGCTTATACCGCTGCTGCTGTATGGAAGCCTCCTTTTTCAATAACATCTTTACATTATGAGCAGAGGCATCACTGGTTCAGAGGATGTGAACTGCTTTATAACTCTTAATATACACTGTCATTACTTTCCAAAGAAGTTGCAACAATTCACAACATCATTAGAAGTATAAATAGTATGTGTTTCTCCACAGTTTCACCATCATTGTATGTTATAATTTATAAATATTTTTGCCATCTGGATGAATATAAAAAGATAGTTCAAAATTATTTTAATTTGGATTTCTCTGACTCTTGGAGTATTTAAACATTTTTTGGTGCCTAATGATAACTTATATGAATTCTTTCAGTATTACTTGTTCATATCCTTTACCATTTTCTTATTGGAGAATAGATAATTATGTTATAAATTTATATCTTTTCTTATCAATTTCAATCAGAAATATTTAAAGTGAATATTTTCCTCCTGCTATTCTCCCCCAGCCCCCTTTATATTCTGGATGCATTGCTTTCTGTTGTACAGAAATTCTCAATTTTATAAAATTATATCTACCAAAATAGGTTGACTCATAATTTCTTCTATTTGTTGAATAGATAAGAATTTTCCTCTTTTAAACAGTTCCACTGTATGTATCACAGAATATAGAAGTTGGAAATTGGAAGAGGTCTCAGTGTTCCTCTAGTCCAGTTCATATATTTGAAAGGAATACCTACCATAACATTCTATTTTTCTCTAATTTTGTATTATGTTTTCACATTTTAATCCATTTGGAATGAATTATTGCAATAGGCAAGATAATAATATTTTTCGCCTTTGACCATACTACTTTCTGATTTATCCAGTAATTGTTATTGAATGATATTCGCCTTCACCATTGATTTCTTATGTTGGATTTATTAAGTATTAGTCTGTTGTAGGCATTTGGTTTTAATTGTGGATTATTTATACTGTTCAGATCTATATTCCTATTCATAACCCAATATCAGATATTTTTTGGCAATTGCTGCTTTATGATATAAATTTAAACATGGTGATGAACATAGTGATATGAATCCTGGCTCTCCTTTTTTATCATAATTTCTTTGGGTATTCTTGTCTATTTTTTAAATTTAACTAATCACTTTCTCTAATAATATGAAGCAGTTTGGTATTGAATTAAAACAATTATTAAGTCATGGTGCCATCTTTACTGTGTAAAATTGGCCTAGTCAAATGCATTGTATCTCTTTATATATCCAATTCTTTCATTATGTCTATCAGAATTATTATATAGCTGCCATAAGAGGCAGTATGGGATCGTGGTTAGATAACTAGCTTTGGAATCAGGAAGACCTAGGTTCAGTCTCCCCTGATATATATGCTCTGTGTGACCCTTAGGAAGCCACATTAGCATGCTAGCATTCCCAAAGCTCACTAAGGGGCAGGTAGGTGGCACAGTAGATAGTACACTGGTTCTGGAGTCAGGAGGACCTGAGTTCAAATTGGGTCTCAGACACTTATTAGCAGTGTGACTCTGGGTGGGTCACTTAATCCCAACTGGCTACAAAAACTCTCTAAAACTATTTTCTAAATAGCTCTCTCTATGTTTTAGAGAACATGCTTATTTTTAAGAAGTCTCTTCCAAACAAACAAAAAAATAAATGAGTTTATATAGGCTTTATACAAATCTTGTTAGGTTAACTCTCAAGTCATTGACATATTTTGTAAATGGTATTTTTCTGTTTCTTTTGTATTTTGTTAGTGACACGGAAATGTTGATGATTTTTCAGGTTTATTTTATATGCTTGTTATTTCATTAAATCCACTTTTTATATTGGTTAGTTTTTGTTGAATCACTTCGGTTTCTATGTTTAAAAGAACAAAGATAGGGAAAGCTGCTGGACGAGGGTAAATGTACTTTCAGCAGATCTGTGGTGGAGGTGAAGCAATTAGGGTGCATTGAGGTATTAATTCAAAAAGATTCTGAAGGAGAAGATACCAAAAGCATGGAAAAAATCTTGAACCTTATTACTACTAAAAAAAAAAGATGATTGAGGAAACATCAGTGATTAAGCTTTATTTCTAATTTGCCATTTGCATAAAAAAAGTGAGTGAGAATAATATGCACATAATCAAGAGCATCTTTGCCCTTGACAGTTTTAATAGGAAACAGGCAGGCTTTCATAAGCAGTATTTCACAGCAGGCCCTATCTTTTATTCTCTATTGTATTGATTTCTCCTTTTATTTCACAGTTTTCTTCTTTGTACCTGCTTTTGTATATTAATTCAATAATTTTTGAAATTTATTAACTAAAAATTAACTCTGATTTTTTCTCATTAATCTGTATTTAGGGACATAAGCTTATTTTTAATTACTGCTTTGGCTACATCCCATAAATTGTGACATGTTGAATTTATAGTCATTATTCCCAGTATAATCTTAAGTTTCTGTAATTTGTTCTTCAGGCCAGACATTATTTAGCAAGTAATTTTTTGGATTTCCATATAGGCCTACAACTGTTGATACTATTTTTCTTATGATTATTATCTTTTGTTGCATTATCATCTTTTAAAAAATAATTTCTGCCCTTATTTGTAATTTTTACACATTACAGATTGTTATCTTTTTTAAAAAATTCAGGTGTATTTAAAACATTAACTTTTATTTACTTTTTTTTGGCAATTGGGGTTAAGTGACTTGCCCAGAGTCACACAGGTAGTTAAATGTCAAGTGTTTGGTCTGAGGTCAAATTTGAACTCAGGTCCTCCTGATTTCAAGGCCAGTGCTCTATCTACTGCACCACCTAGCTGCCCCCTGAAACATTAACGTTTGATACTGTAATTGTAATATACTTGTTCAGTAACGAAATACTTTACATATTCCTGAAGAAACGAAACTACAATATTGAAATTTTCACTATTATGAAATCTATCCTTCATTCAGCTGTAATTATCTGTCAAATCCCATTTCTTCAGCATTTTATTTTAAATGCATAACTTTTTGTAGCTTATATTTTTATCTGATTTACCATACTTCACTAATGAAGTATTAAAGTCTACAAATATTATTGTTTTTGTACCTAATTCCTTCCGCAACTCAATTAACTTTTCCTTTTTAAGTTTAGTTGCTGTCCAATTAGGACAATAGATTCCTCTTTTTAAAAAATCTTTTTTTATTTTTGGCTTGAACACTAAAACTTAAATACGTAATAAGAAAAGAAAATGAAACATATTATAAACTTAAATATTAAAATTTAAATATAATATAAGAAAAGAAAAAAATGTCATGTGCACAGTAGAATGTAAGAGGATTAAAAATATATAGCAGTAGGATGGCTAGGTGGTGCAGTGGATAGAGCACTGGCCCTGGAGTCAGGAGAACCTTAGTTCAAATCCAGCCTCAGACATATAACACTTACTAGCTGTGTGATTCTGGGCAAGTCACTTAACCCCAATTACCTAATATCTATATCTATATCTATATCTATATATAATATATATATATATTTGCTTCCTTGTAGGTTTTCTTTTGTTCTCCGCTGTATACTTTTTACTTTGTTCTTTTTTCCCTCTTCCTCCACCCTTACCTTCCCCCCAGGCTGCAATTAAGCACATATAAATATTGATACACACACACACACACACACACACACACACACACACACACACATACATGCTTTCCCTAAGAGATTCTATTCCTAATCTTTGTTTTTTTATGTTTGTGCATATCTCTTATTTCCTGTCCCTCCTGACTCTTCTACTTTATTTCTACCTGCTACCTTGCCCTCCTATTATTTAACCTACACTCCTCCAACAATCCCTCCCTTGTCCTCCCATTCTCATAAATCTAAACACCCTTCTATGTCCCCCTTTAACCTATTCCATCATCCTCCCTTCCAAAGATCCCTCCCTTATCTTCTCCCTCTCTCTCTCCTTAGTGTTTTATTTCTCTCTAAATTTAGAAGACTTTTATACTCTTCTAAATGTGTATGTATTGTTCCCTCTTAAGCCCATACCCGATGAAAGTAGGTTTCCAGAACTACCAGCCCTCCTCCCTCTAATTCCTCTATATTGATTCTTTTTCTCACACCTCATTTGTATAAAGTAATCACTCTTTTTAGCTGTTCCTGAAGAGTTTTACTTTTTTGAAGTCATATCATGCTCAGGTCTAACCCAATCTTTCTTACAAACCACCCAATTACTAATAACAGTCTTAGACACACATTTTACATTTTACATACATAAAAAGTAAACAGTCTGTCCTTTTTGAGTGCCTTGTAATCAGTCTTTGGTATGTACATCTTGGCTCTTGTTTGTCAAAACATTTTTTTTAACAAAGTCCTGAAAGTCTAACAATTTGTTAAATGTCCATTTTTTCCCCCATTCAGTATTATGCTTAGCTTTGCTGGATATGAGACTTTTGGCCCGAAGCCCAGTTCTTTTGCTGTTCCATATATAGTGTTACAAGACCTGTAGTCTCTTAGTGTTGACACTGCTGGGTCTTGTGTGATTTTAATTGTGGCACTGCCATATGTAAATTGTTTTTTTTCCCTTGTTGCTTGTAATATTTTATCTTTGAGCTGGGGGTTTTGGAATTTGACTATAACATTTCTGTGGGTTTTTCTCATAGAATCTCTTTCAGGTGGTGATTGGTGAATTTTTTTCTATTTCTATTTTCCTTTCATGTTCTAATGCTTCAGGACAATTTTCTTTAATTATTTCTTGTATTATTGTATCAAGATTCTTTTTTTGATCATAGCTTTCAGGTAGTCCAATTATTCTTATGTTTTCCTTCTTGATCTGTTTTCCACATCAGTTGTTTTCTTATGAGATGTTTTGCATTCTTTTCTATTTTTTCATCCTTTATATTTTGTTTTATTATTTCTTGGTCTCTTATGGCTTCGTTGGCTTCCCCTTGCCCAGTTCTGATTTTCAAGGAGTCAGTTTCTTCCTTAAGATTCTGGATCTTCTTTTCTAATTTATTGACTTTCTTTTCATAATCTCCTTGTTTTTCTTAGATTTTTTTTTAGTTTTTCTTCAATCTCATTTTATTTATAAAGTATTTTTTAAGTTCTTCTATGAATTCTTTTTGGGCAGGTAACCATTTAACATTACTTTTTGGGGCAGAAGAGAATTTCTTTGTATCACTATTCTCCTCTGAAGACAAACCCTGGTCTTCTCTATTCCTGGGTTAGGTTCTTTCTCCTTTGCCTGTGCAGTTTTTTTTTTTGTAGTAGCTTAATTTTTTGTAATCACCTCTAGTCCTGGGGTATGGGGGATGGTGCCTGCGGCCTTAGATCCTCCTTCAGTTCTCCTCAGTGACCTTGATCCCAAACCGAGAACTCCAGCCCACAGCCAGTGGCGTCCCTGCCCTGCTGCTTCTGCACTCACTGGGCTTCTGCTGGTTCCTTTTCCTTTGGCCAGGTCTCTGAAGCACAGCTGGGTCTGGCGTTCCTTGTCAACAGAGGTTCTCTTGATCTTTCTAGGCTCAGATGCCCAACTCCCCTTGCTGTCTCGGAGTAGGGGTGGGGGGGGGACGGTGAGGGGGGCAAAAGTTCAAGTGGCTGAGGTCGAGTCAGGGGCTTGCTGGTTAAGTGTTCCTTAGCCTAGAGGTGTTTACTCTTTACAGAGACCAAACCTTATCCCAGGATTTTTCCTCAGATCTTCTCCAATTGTCCTAGGAGGACCCCTGTTCTGCCCCTTCTCTTATTTATTTTTAGCACTCGAAGTTTACCCTGAGGCTCTGTTTTATCTTTTTTGTGGAGGAAAATCTTGGAATTTTCTGACCTACTCTGCCATCTTCCCAGACTCCTCTCCTGACAATAGATTACAAAATTATATTCTGTCTTCAATGGTACTGTTAGGCAGGATGAGAGTTCCTTGTTTATCTTTCTTAATAGTATGCTCTTGGTCACAGACTGTGCCTACTGAGGTATTTGGTGGCACAGTGGAGAGAGCTTCTGGGCACGGAATCAGGAAGACCTGAGTACAAATTTGACCTTGGAAACTTACTAGCTATGTGACCCTAGGCAAGTAACTTAACCTCTGATTTCCTTAGTTTACTCCTCCATAACACAGGGCCCTCAAAGGATTGTTGTGAGGTTACAATAGGATAAGTACTTAAAAACCTGACGGGTCTCAGTAACTATATACACGCTTATTCCCTTCTTACTGTTTGAGGACTAATCAAATGCAGAGAGGACCATGATCTAGAAACTGGTTGCTACATAGGAAAATTCCTCTCAGTTCTGTGTAGTCCCTTTTGCTTCTCCTTTGAGCAGATAGGTGGTTCAGTGGGTAAAACACTGGGTTTGGATTCCAGAAGACCTGAGTTCAAACTCTGCCTGTGACCCTTTGTGACTCTAGGCAAATCCCTTAAGCTCTCTCTTAGCTTAGTTTCCTCATTTGTAAATGAGGGAGTTAGAGCTGACAGATTCTGAAGTGTCTATATAGGTAATGAGATAGATAAATAATTTATTAAGTACTTTCTATGTGGCAGACATTGTACTAAACACAGGAATATGAACAGAGTCAGTTCTGCTATAGCACTTGTTTTGAAAACATGAATTTGTTCCAACGGGATTGATATATTAGGGAATAATTGTAACATAACTCAAATTCTTTGCTTATTCAGGGAGAAACATCAAGAGAAGTCAGACAACTGCCTTACTTAACAATGGTACTAGCAGCAATCTTCCAACACCTACTGTCAGCTCTTTGTCAAAGAAAACCACCCTATTTCATGCATTTTTAATGTGCAGTAGAAGCCACGGGCAGAAGGAGGCAGGGCTGGCCCTTTCTCATTCCCCGCTTTTCACTATGCCTAAACCTTAGGCCAGCGATTGTGGCCCACTAAGACTCCACCCTTCAGCTCAGGCCCAGTGCTTGAGAACCTGGAGCAAGTCCAGGAATAGCCCAAGGTTGTAGATACAGCTGCCATTATTTATTCTAATATTTCTGTGTTATTGAACCATTGGACGTGCATAAAACCGTGCTATGACTCTTTATTAGGTTTCTATCTTTGTTGTATGTCCCTGACCACGTTTTTGAGTGTTTTATCCCTAACCCCATTTCCCCCATGATTTTGTATAGTGCAGTGATATTTAGGAAGATGTGTATCTTGTTAACAAGCAAGCAAGTGCTTGGCATCTAGAAGCTTACATTCTATCTAATAGGGAAAGACAACACTTTAAACGAGATGTGGGGTTGGAGGGAAGGATGTATATACACACATTCACTTATCAGAGCTGAAGTATGTAGGGACAGAGGCCCTTACCAGTGGGAAGGAGGTGAACATGATGATCTGAGTAGAGAAGGCTGGCTGCGAAGTAATAGGGGAAATGGTGCAAAGGCCTGGGCCCCAGGATTATCGAGGGATAGGGTATGTGCTGTATAGGTACCTGAGATAGTCTGGAAAGAACCAGAGGAAGATCTGGTAGGGTGGAGGCTTCCTTTTAAAGTGCTAAACCTGGGTTCTAGGAGGGTTGAGAGTTGATTGTACTATGCTCTTCTCCCACTATTTAAGTCATTGTCGTAGCTCACTCTGCGTTTCTCAATAGTGCTTTTCCATTCTAATCTTAGTGATATAATTTTTGTAAAGGAACCATCCACCTCGTATTAAGTCATTCTATAAATCATACAATAGATGGTAGTCATGACCTTTCTTCTATTGAAGCATATGTTTTGCTGGCTTTTTGGTAGCCTATATATTTTACTATAAATATGTATAGACAATTTTTTACTCATGAGATTTAATTTTTAAAGATAGAAGTTTTATTTTATTCTTAATTTTATTGTTTTGTTTTATTAATTATTTTATTATTAATAAATATAAATATTTAAATATATTAAATTGAATTTGATTCAACAAACTGCAGGGAGATTTTAGTTGCTTTTCAATCTTGCTCCCAAATTGATTTGTATAGCAACCAGGGACTTTCTGGGGATTGAGAAAAATCTCCTGATCCCAGCTCTTCCCAACTCCTTTGGAGTTTTGTATGTGGAAGATGATTTTTTTTAAAAGAGATATCATTTTTCTCTCCTGTGATACTACTTTCCAAAATACTGATTAGCAGAAGAAGTATGGCTTAGTGGCTAATGCTAAGACCTAAATTCAAATTCTCCCTCAGACACTAGCTGTGTGACCCTGGGCAAATTGCTTAACTTCTGTGTGTCCCAGGCAATTCCAGAGAGTTTATCTACAGTTATAAATGGTTATCTATGCATTCCTGGAGTGAGCAGCCTAAATTGAGGAAAGCATTAATTACCTGTTTATTGCCTGTTGCTTACCAATTTTGTATTTTCTATCCATTTTTCTAAAAAATCATTAGGTATAACCTTTGTGTAGCAAGTAAAATAGAGGCCTTTACCTACTGTTAGTAATTGTTGTACATCATCTGTACTTAACAGTTCCATCGATCAAAAGCCAAAGGTTTGTCCAGAACTGGGGAGAAAAGAATGTGGTGGCCTGTCAGGCACAAAACATTCCCAAAAGCTAATTGTGTTAGTAGTTATGACTCTTTCATACCTCACATTTTCTAATACTTTTGTTTATCCTGCCCTGGTGATGAGTGGGTTTGGAGCCAGAAGGAACATTAAAGATAATTTAGCACAGGCCTCTTTCATTTGACAGACGAGAGAACTAAGGCCATAAGTGGACTTGGGCATCTGCTCAGGAGTCAGGTGAATCCAGGCCCTCTGAACCTTGTCTTCTTTCTGGTACATCACATTTCTTCCCGAATCTTCTCTCAGGGAAGAAATGGGTTTCTGCTTTCAATTATAAGAAAATGTTATCTTGCTACTTCTAACTTGTACTTTATATTTTTATTATAAACTTAATTACCCACAAAAACATAGTCAGGTAACATAGGATCATAGTTCTGCAGCTGGAAGGGACCTCAGAGGCCCTCAAGTCTAATCTTCACATTTTAAAGGTGAGAAGATTGAGGCCCAGATACTGGTGACTTGCCCAAGATCTCACATGCAAAACAAGACATCACATCACACATGAAATCCTAACCATATCATGCCACACATTTTGTTTCATTCTTATTGTTGTTACTATTATTTTTAACATTTATTACTTGCATCTGTGTGGTGCTTTATTTCTTTTAAAAAGGTTTTATGATAGCCTTTAGTTTTTATACAAATTATTTCCCTGTAAACCTTGTCTGTCATCCCCCTTTAAACCCTTTTTTGTAACAAAGGAAAACATTAAAGCAAGGCTAATACCACATATTTTACTTTAATGGCTAAGTAGAACCAAACATTATTTTGTTGTCGTTTGGTCATATCCAACTCTTCATGACCCATGGACCATAGCACACCAGGCCTTTCTATCCTCCACTATCTTTTGAAGTCTGTCTGAGTTCATGTTCATTGTTTCTATGACTCTATCCATCCTTCCCCTTTTCTTTTCCCTTCATTCTTTCCCAACATCAGGGTCTTTTACAATAAGTCCTATCTTCTCATTATGTGGCCAAAGTATTTAAGCTCCAGCTTCAGTATTTGACCCTGTAGTGAATAGCCTGAATTAATTTCTTTAAGTATTGACTGATTTGATCTTCTAGCTACCCAAAGGACTCTCAAAAACACATTAACCAACAAACAAAAATGATTTCTTGGTCGCCTGCCAAGTTTATCTGAAGTTGTTGTTGTTGTTGTTATTAATATTATTATTATTATTTTGAACCAGACAAGCAGCTAGATGATTCTGTGGATAGAGAGCTGGGCCCGGAGTCAGGAAGACCTGAACTCAAATCCAACTTCAGACACTTACTAGCTGTGACCCTGGGCATTAATCTCTTTTTGCCTCAGTTTTTCTATCACACCTGCCTCTCAGGGTTGTTGTGAAAATCAGATGGAAAATAATTATAAAGCCCTTAGCACAGTGCCTGGCACACAGTAAGCACTATATAAATGTTAGCTACTGCTATTATTGTGATTTTTATTTTATTTGATAGTGAATTCCTGATGAAATTTCGGTTTTAGCACTGAAAGTTGAATCATCTTGTCCAGGGCCACAGAGACGATGTGTAATCAGAGACAGTATTTGAACCCAGATCTTCCTGACTCAGAAGCTGCCTCTCTATTCATTGTTCCACCTGCCTCTTTTATATCATATTGTCTTTTAAATTAACATTTCTCCCCGCTAGGTCATTATTATTTGTAGTCTTTGGCCAAAAATAATCATTGAAAGTATTAGTGCTGAGATAAAGCCCCGCCTTTCAGGGTATTTGAATGTTTAGAAAGGAGCCCCCGGAAGACCGTTGGGGCATTACTTGAAACCTCTCCCACTTTCTGCCTTATCTGGCCAAAGCTGTTTTCCTGTTTCTCTGCAGCTCCCAGCAGGAAACCACACTCGCCCCCGCTTAGCATCTCCCCGGGAGGGAGTGACGCCAGCAGAATACTAACAATATGGAACAAGCTACAGTCCCTGAAAATGACCACAGGATATTCCGAGGACTCTGTTTTCACGTCCAGCAGAGCCTCTTTTCAAACCTAATAAGGTGAAACAAGCAAACACCATGGAAGCAGAGGGCACGTTCAGCTCTATTTTCTCCATTTTGTTGACTTAGCAACAACCTCTGAGTTGAGAAAGCTATTTTAGGATCAAAACTGTTATTAATCTATAAGCAGTTAAAATGGATCCTACTCAGCTAGCCAGAAGGCTGCAGCACGTTGATTTACATAGTGATATATTCCTTTGTGAGAAAATACGGCCATGAGCAGGTCAGTTGAGGGCCATGCTGGGTCTCATTATTTCAATGATGCTCCTCCTTAAGAGCTCTCCATGTAATTATACTGAGTCCTAAAACAGGAAAACAGCAAAGGTCAGTAGATGATCTGTGTTCTCTTTCCGCTCACATCTTCTTCCTGTGTGAGAGGCAGATGTAACAAAAAGACTGAAGCTAAAAGGAATGGGGTGGGGGGCAGCTAGGTGGCACAGCAGGACCTGAGTTTCCTGAGTTCAAATCCAGCCTCAGACACTTACTAGCTATGTGACTCTGAGCAAGTTACTTAACCCTGTTTGCCTCAGTTTCCTCATCTGTAAAATGAACTGGAGAAGGAAATGGCAAACCACTCCACTATCTTTGCCAAGAGAAACCCAAATGGGGTCACGAAGAGTCGGGCATGACAGAACAACAAAAAGAAATGGACCCAGGGTTGTATGTGCTTGCTCTGTAAAGATGTGTATTATTTGGGGAGGTGATTTGTAACTTTGACTTTGACAGTGACTACTGGCAAAACCCAACATTTATCTTTGAATAGCAGCTCTGGAGTGTCCTCCTACTAGAATTCCTTCAGGGTGATTTTCAATCCCAAGCTCTACATATTGATAGTTTTTAAGAGCTGTCTCCCTGCTTTGAAAACAGAATGGTGGGTCATAGCTTATCTTTAATAAAAGAAGGCGAAATTACATCCTGCAGAAATTTAGATGTTTAGAACATGCAGACAGGAAAGCACGGGGATAGGAGTGGATTGGGTCAGTCAGGTAGAGAGAACAGGGCCTCGTGGGGAGTGGGGGTGGAAAGGAGCACAGATTAGGCTTTATGTAGATGATGGGAAATGCTCATGGTATGCTCATAGGACAGGATGGAACATCTAGATAGATCTGGAAACTTCCAATTGCCTTGCTGATTAACAGCTTCTCTGTCTGATCTTAGAGGTGAGGAACCTATCAGAGCCACCCAGGCAGGATCCCAACCTGTTTGTAACATACCTGTACTACTCTGACCCCCAGAATGCCCTAAACTTGGATCTACCCTGACCTAGGTATTGCCTAGATTTCCCTGATGCAAGAACTTAAGATAGACCCAAGATTTCCAGAGAGAGTTCAATGTAACCATTTGCTAAGTAGTGGCAGCATTGTTTCTTGTGAGACCATAATGAATTCCCTCTTCTGACCATTGCCTGAGGATCATAGACTTGGAGGTTCCCTGGTGACCTCCTGATTTTCTCTTCTTAGTGCTCCTCCAGCGGTGATTCTGGAGTCAGAGAGGACCCAATTTAAAATTCCACCTTTGATGCTTATTAACTAGGTGACCTTGCTCCAGAAGCAGGCAAGTCACTGAACTTCCATGGGCCCTCAGTTTTCTTTTCTGTAAAATGAGGGGTTTGGCCTAGATGGCCTTTGAGCTCCCTTCTCTAGCTATATATCTTTCCAGTTTTGCATTAACTGTAGTAGCCGTAGTGTGGGGTCAATAGATTCATCGGATAACCAACCCCTTCATTTTATGGATGAAGAAACTGAATTCCATATTGATATTGTCCTAATGCCTTTACCTTGCTGTCCTCATATTTGCCTTCCTACTCACTCAGGTTTACCCAGTTAAGCTATGTGGTCTTCCCTCAAACAAACCTAGGAAAAACAGACTACTTGTTCATAGCCCTGGCTGCCTCATCTGATTCATCTTTTGGAATGCCTCTTAACAATGGACTTCACATATCTTCCATTCCATTTCATTTCTACAATCATATTGTAAGGCTTTCATGACCCTGCTTACTAGACCCAGCATTACCCCCAGGCCATGATAAAGCATTAAGATTTATCTTAATCTCTCCTTACTCTCTCTATATCAAGAAATAAGAAAGCAGGGAATCTTTATCTCAAAAAACAAAAACAAACAA